AAAAAAAAAACACTATTTGCTAGTCCAAATGAAGCCATTTTGACGTCGTCGGGAAATTGATGCAGTGTGTCCGAAATTGAATCCTGAAAGGCTTCGCACCTACTTTGTAAGGGGAAAGCAGAGCCAGTGAAGCATAAGTTTAAGCCTGCTTTGCCAGTTCAGCAAAACTACTCTCTCGTTGTGATGAGTTACTTTAATTAGTTTTAGTTCGTGAGAAAATATTGAAATTTTAACCTATGAGTAACTTTATGAACGTGTTACAATGCTATTTAAACCGAACTTTATTTGTTGATGACAAGTTAAGATAATCTGATCGAGGAATTTATTCTCAAACCAAAACCTCGCTAACCTCTGTAGTAACCGATTTAGATTAATTTCGCTGGTCATTTATTAGGCACTCTCATTGGCCAAGTCATTCTACCATAAACCGTCTGCGAATTTTGGAGCGGACCAAAACCGTGTAGGTGTCTCCTAAGTTATGGCCTATTCTGTGAAGCAGTGCTCAAAATCCACGTCCCACATATGTGCGTACATTTGACCTAAGCTAGTTGATCTCGATGAATATCTTGAGTAAGTGCCCTCATTAACTGAGTGGTTCATTCTTGTCAATGGAGAGGAAAGCCACCTGTCGACGATATTTGACGAAAATATTAGCAATCGAGTAAACGGTCGAACGAGTGGAATAGAACCAGTGAAGGAACTACATCTACTCAAACCAATTCAGTAACAACCAGTTTGATTGTTCAGAGCAATTGAGACTAACAGAAGGCGCATCTACAGTGCAGTTAACTCTGTCAGCAAAGTGAGAAAATCGTCTTTGATAATGAAAATGAGGATGACCATAGCACACAAGAAGCCATTTTTGCAGAGCTAACCGAATTCACTTCACGATAAAGAAGCCCCATTACCAGAACATACTAGTACTAGTTTTCGAAAGTAGACCACACATTAAACCCAAATTCAGATGTTAGCCAGTGAGACATGATGGAATGAGATGTTGTTTCTGTTGCATCAACCGTCGACATAAATGCAGAGAGCACCTATCTTCATAAGCCCATGCTTCAATTAACACAGCTCACTAGAAATAGCGGTGCAATTATACTCCTGTCACCAATTAGGTTAATCATAAGTCCAATTTAAGGGTTAGAGACCGTACTACACACAACTACTTCCAGAGGAAACACTTATTTTCAAGACAGCTTCATTTTCGTTCTGCTAATGAAGAATAATTTTCCCGGTGGTGGTGAATTCTACGGCAGCAAGTTAATTCTATTCCCATTCCCTTCTTCTTGCAAATCTAATTGGCTCAAAAACGGAAAAACAGCATACTCGCAGTTGGTAACATTACTTCCATCACATTACTTATAAGTATGTGTTGGTTCTTTTCCATGTCCACAGGATCTAGAGGAGGAAATATGTCTCAGACACCATCAACGAGTGCAGTTGACCAAGTGGTGGGAATAACGGAACTGGTGAGCCACCAAATAATAAGGGGTTGGAAGAGCGCGGTACAGACGAGAAAGTAGACTCCCCGACGCGGACTCAGCGATACCTGACGATCCGCTTGTGGTAACACCTGTAGCTTCAGCGAACGAATCTGCATCCATAGAAGAAAAAGAAAACAATTTAGGCAAACAAAAGCGAATTCTCCCATAGATAATACAAAACTGCTGAGACAAAACCTTATGTTTCATTCCCATTTCATTCTTGCTAAACATGCCGATTTCCTACGTGTGTACGAATCGTAGCAAAAGCCTTCACTCATTGATGAGAACGCTGTTTGCTATAAAAAAGTGCCTTTCAAGAGTAATCAGAGATAGTATAAAATTACTACTTTTACCGCACACAGATCCAGAAAAATATTGCCTACACTCTAAAGAAGAGTCAACTTTGGTAAATTTCCAGTGTGTTAATCAGTACAATTAACACACAACGTCAGTGAATCGGATGTGTAACACATGAGAGGACATATAGGGCTGCGAAAGGACGAAGACGGTGGCATGACGTGGCACGCAAATTGTGACCGTCCCAACACTGTGTCGAATCACTACAACTGGCTTCCAAAATGAAATAGCCTGAATGCTTGAAATTTCCGTGTTGAGAGTAGCATCCATTGTCTCCAAATAGAGCAAAGAGTCCAAACATGAACAACCTTATAATTATTGAGCCATTGCAACATAGGCACACGGCAGCGAAACTGAATTCATTGTGGTGTAAGATTTTAACAATGATGATATACTTTGTTCTATCGGCAAGTAATATTGGTGATTCATTGCCAAATTTGAATCAGTTAAAATAAGTGTATTGCATTACTAGGCACTGCGAATTAATAACAGGCGAAATTCTACCAATGGAACGACTCATATATCTTTATTACAATATCATTTCGTTGCAATGGATGCTGTTTGGGAAAACCTCAAAAGCAAATTATTACATCGTAACATAATCAAAAATATTGGTGTTACAGACGCTGCTAAATGAGTTTACATCAGAGAAATAAAGCAGTTCGATAGTTAATGAACGAGACTTCCAAACCGAAGCCATAACGTCCAAGGGGTATTTCTACAACCTATATATACTCGTGCCTCCTACGAAGAACGCCTAAGATTATTGTAGATTAGTAACGAGAGCATCTCTCAAAACTCATTAATAGTTTGAAAAAGCATCTACTGATGAAGATAATGAAAGAACGTGAACAAAGACACCCAAGCCAATTCCGTATTACAGCAAATTCTAACTGGTAACTTTGAATTAATCCGTAATTTTCCCTCTGGCTGAGAGAAAGATAAAATGGAAGTCTTACCTGAAAAAAGGCAAATGCAAGACTCGTCCAAACAAGAGCGAAATAGTATCCTGGAGCGGCGAGCACAAGAGCCACCAGTACCACTGTTATCATGCTGAAAGGCGATTACGGCATAGTGGAGATTCGGCACATCATAAATGGTTCTACGTTTGATTTGCCCCTTAAGAACCATCGCCACCCAATGGGAAAATTTCTTACCCAGTAATGAAAGGAAGCGATTGCGTTATATTTGACAAAAACATGTGGGTCCAAAAAAGGGAGGTAAAGACCTAGATTTTAATTTCTGAAATCACCGCATTTGGTACACCAAGAATTATATCGACAACTCATATGCATTGACGTTCTCGTTCGCCCTAAAGTCACTTACATATTTTGATCCTCCTATGAAAACAAGACAGGATGGCACTTTAATCGAGGGGATTCCTATGCTTATAAAACCACAGAATGATTGTTATTTTCAGTTTCGAGACATCTGGAATGAACAAGCTCAGTTAGTTTAGTGATAACATAATAGTAAAGTTAATGTGCTTCGAAGGTTGCCATCAAATTAAAGATTATCATATAAAATCCCGATCGAAACAAAGCTACACTACATATTTGCGTGAGGCAAAGAGAAGGAGATGAAGGAAAGTTGTGACCTGCAAAGTTATGCTTCGGGGTACCAAAAAAGGTGGCACTCTTGCTGTAGACCCATAGAAAGCCAAAGCTTTAAAATTGCTCTCGGAGAATTCACTCCTTAAGTGCTTAAAAACTACGGGTTACTCTATTTCAAACACGCGTTTAATGGAATATTGTCAAAAGATCATCGTGCGAGAATGTCTACAATTCAGCTGAAAAGGACTTGTGCGACTTAGCTGCATGATAGTGACGTTCATTTGCCAAGAGTGTTGTTAGTACAGGGATTAAAGGGAACATAATGGTAACGTACTAGACAAACTTGTACCCACAGTAGGCGAGAAGGTCAAGATAGCCAAGGTTGGACTGGATGTTCAGAAGATAGAGGGCAAGAGTGAGCGCGCACACCTCGAGGATTAGCCAGACGAAAGACTGGCTTGAGAGAATACCCAGCAGATCAGGAGCAAATCTACCCTCCACACCAAGAGACACACCTGCTGCGAACACATATGTGATAAAGGCCATTGTAGGGATATAGAGATCAGGAGAATTGATGTCTTCACGAGGAGGAACGACCCCCAATGCATCGTATTGTAAATCCCATCGCTAAAAGACAACGCACCAAGGTATCACCATCTACATTTTAGGAATTGGCCTCTTATCTCGAGTTACCCAACTAGATAACTGACAGTACAATTTTAACCTTGAGGAAATAATGAAACGTTTAGCAAGGTATATAAAATAACCTGTAAAAGACATTTAAGGTACTGTCTCACACTGAGCTTTACCAATAAAAGCATGCAGGAAAGGTTGACCGTAGTTTTAAGTGTCCAAGTCTCTAAGACGCATTGTGAAAATACTCCAAAGTTTACGAACCAGAAGTGTTTTTTCGTGGCTTCAAGTGACATCTGACAAGTCACAAATAAGTCTAGAATTTCAGAAGAAATTACATTGGCAAAGATGAAGACTCCACTACTTCCAGCAGAACAAAACTTAGCAGACCACTGTTGCTAGCAATAAACAAATTTCAGCATGTCATCCAGGATTAAAACGAGATCATACCTCGGGCATTTCGTTTGCAAATCAAACCGAATTCATCACTTTACAAACTTTAGGGCACCAAATCTTAGGATGAAAGAGTTACATACATCGAGACCAAATTGGATGTAGTCATTAGATGTGCACTAATATTAATTCACGAACGTGTTTGTAGAAATACAAAAAGCAACGAGCTTGCAACAGAGAAAGGAAGAAAGTCATCACTGACAAAAAGGTAAGGTCTACGATGAATAGGCAAAAATGAAACAATGAGGTTGACATGGAGACTTGTTGGCTGAATAAAAACCATCAGTCACAGAGCCTAACACTGTAGAGCCATAACAACAACAGAAAAATAGGCGATGGAGTAATGTGCTTACTGTATGAAAAAACGGGAAGAAAAGGATCCCGAGTTTTCCGGCGACATACGCATTATCAACAGCGAAGTAGTGTTTCAACTTAGACAATGAAAAGTACTTCTCAACCTAGAGAGCAATGATTAGAAGAATTGTGTTTTGCCTTTTCCTGGACTAGCTGTGTACCCTGTCCGATAGCCTCCGAACCATACTGCATTGCCACATTTTGGGCTACCCGGTTTACAAAAACAGGACCCTCAATCGGATTGAACGGCGAGGGCTGCAGCGACGCAGAGTGCTGATATGAGGTGGGACTATAATACTGGTTTGGATAGTTATGTTGAGAGGCATCAGGAGCAGCATAAAATTGACTGGAGCCGGAAGTCCCCGACTGCCCGCCCCAGGACGAACCATACAAGTTCATAACGAAAGGGAACACCGCTCGAGGAGAGAATTGCTTAACGCTACGTAATCACCCAAGCCTAATTGGGTGATTTAGAATGTAGGTCACTCAAGTCGATATCATTTTACGAAAAAGTAGTGAAATTGGAAGTGTTGAAAACGTAAACCTGTACGAAGATTATAATATCTTTCGCGAATCAAGCGATTAGCTTTTTACATTACTACAAACCTTCTATATTTAACAACAATTTAACTTAAAGTATAGCTTCCATTTAAAAATTTAATATAAAATTAAAGAAGTTCAAAACATATTAATATGGGTATTTGTTATTATTTGCAAACGACCTCTCCCTTAAGGTTTATGCGGCGATTACAAGTGATCTACGTGTCTCGGTTTTTGTCCCTCTGGGATAGTGAGGTTTTAGTAAAAAAAACAGATAATTTTAAAGCGTCTGCCTGCCCCGCACCATTTCGGTGCTAAATTTACTACTTTTTAATGGCTGAAAATTCGCATAACTGAGGTTTTTAACGCTCAATATCTTCTAATCTGCTATTGAGGTTCTTCTCTAAAGTGAAGTACTTGCATAGTTATTTTTGTGCTAGATTGTGCTCTTCCGTGCTCACCGTTGTTATCTCGTTTCACGATCCTCAGTACACCGAATCGTTCGTATTTCTTTTCACTATACCTTGCACTTGATGGTGTTGCTGTATCTTTTATATGCTTATTGCCAGTTCCAAACGCGTTCTCTTTTTACGCACGAAGGAATCCCTCCCTATCTGTTAGTGAATGTTTCTAAATATTTTTGTGCAGATGTGGGTCCTGAAAACATCAAGTATGCCTCTTGCCAAATACATAGCTCTTCTATCTTTTTTCAGCTTGCTATCGCCATAATGACGTACTATTTCATGCATAAATTACCATACTGCTCCATAAGCATTCATGTTTTCACTTCTAACCGTACTTTTCCTCTGCTTTAGTGCCCTTACCATTTTTCAATGACAGCAGGTAAGTTTGTGGCATGCTGTATGGCTTCTGCGCGCTATACTTATGTACGCATTGCCGAGTTTATTCTCTCTCCTCCCACACGTCGTTCCAGTCCACGAGTCTATGAAACTTCTCAGCTTTTTAATTGGACAATGGCACGGCGTTGGCGAGGGTCTCCTACCGCATGGGCCCTCCTTCAAGTACGAGGAAGACCTTGTCATTGAAAACATTGGCCAGCCTAACTTCGCTTACTCGTAAGTAGAATTGCCAGCCTCCTTGCAAAATCCGATCCCACCACCACTAAAGTACTGTTGTTTCTTTTTATGTTTCATAACTAATGCTCTTAGTGCTATTTCATTCATTGATGGAGTGCCTCGTCACAGAGAGTCCGGTTTTATCAAGTGTCACGAAGACGGTCAGGCTCTCTTCTGCTTGGCCGATAGTCTTGGTGAGTTGACCTCCTTATTTTTGTTGCAGAAGCGATTGGTAGTGTCTGGCACTAAAGTTTTCAATACTTAGATTCCTGTGATGTTCATAGTTCCATGGTCTGCTCTGTTTTCAGTATTCATGCATCTGCACGAATTTGAAATGAGGAATTTAGAATTTGGCATCCCCTATACTTAAAGGTCCTTAGTTACTTACTTTGGGAACGGCTTTGGCCATTTAACTTTCGCTTCTCATTCGCGTTTCCGTTCCTGCAAGGAACATGTTCGATATTACTGGGTCCAGTGGAAACTGAATCTAAAAGCACAATAATCCTCCTCGCCTCGGATAGCATCACCCGTGCCCCTTTCAACAGAGAGCCACGTGTTGTCGAAGTGAGTTAATTTAATCCCCACCTTTTATTTGACCTTATCCACTATCGTTCCGTGCATTAACAGCCCACTCCTAAGTCATAATTGATCCCCCATACCATTATTGAGGAGTTGCTCTTTATTTTAAGGTAAAGTGGAATTCCGGTCAATTAGAGCAGCCAACTTTTCTTAACCGAGTACTTTTACCATTTACGTTAAGTGAATAACAATACTAAGTTAGCAGGTATTTTTGGTACTTCGAGCAACATTACTCGTCATTCACTACCGTAGATTACAAGGATCTGATCCTGGCACTGCTAAATCCCCTCAAGTTTTGTATACTTCTACTCATCTCTGCGATGCTTGGTTGCATGGCAGACATGGCAACCCGTCTCTCCCACAAATCGCATTCGTTTGTTTTTTCCTTAGGTTGTGCGTGACTACAAGTACGACGGAGAGAGATTGCACTTAGTTGTCCGCCTGTCAACTACGAGGAATTCAAAATTGAGTGATCATCTGCAGATTACATATGAGCGCAAAATGCATTAGGGCTTGATGAAGGATTACCAGCCACGAGTACCAAAGTTGTACTGCTTTCAATCTTGGTAATAATAAGCCTAACATCTGTATAATACTTCTAACTGCCTTTGTACAGCCACCTATGATCCAAAACTGCGCGTCTGATTGTCAGAACATTTGGCCTCCTTTTAGACCTGGCTGAGACTAATACCCGGTTTCCTTTTATGGAAGCAAACGTTCACATTAAATGTGCCAATAATTCTGCCTTGAGTGAAGCGATTTTGGTGTGCGAAGGTACAAATTTCCTTGAATTATGAAAGTAGTAACTTTGAACAAGGAGAAAGGCGTTGCGTTAATACCCAAAGAACTTCTTTGAAGAATGTGGAGAGGTTCTTTTGTAAGGTGTCCCATTTGTTGTTTGATGAGAAAAATATTTTACTCTCACCGTTAATACCGCTCAAAGCGAATTCCATGGGAGGACCCACACGAATATGCTTTTAAGTCAGCTGCCCACTTGGTTTCTTATTATGCATCCTCAATAGCCTTAAGCTGCCGCTTAGAAGTAAATTTCTTCGCAGGTTGGATGTGGTGCGGTCAGTTGTTACAAGCCGCTGGCAGAGACGTTACTTGAAGGTGGTCATAGCAACGTAAAGGCAAGAATCTGACTTGAGGTTTGTCCAAAGATGATTCACGAGATCCTCTTTTTACCAACTCAGAGCAAGCAATGTTTTCATTCAATACAGATGTCATGGCTAAGTTGCCTGCATAAAATACTGTTTAAGGTCATACCCAGGAAGAACTTTAGAAACCCAAAAATTGACCACCTCGACAAAGCCAGCGGGCTAAAAATACACTTAGCGTGGTAGTCGAATCCGTACCTGACTTATCGCAGCAATTGTCTGGGGAGCGCTAATTCCGCTATGCTACAATGCCACCAAATCAGTTTTTTTAAATATCAGTGACGTGGAGGCGACATTTCATTTTGTAATTGGACTTTTCATGACACGATAAAAGCAGTTCAGTTGCTCCTATTTGGTAATAGTAGCCTAGAGACTCAAGCTTTGGTGTTTGTTAACTTCAAAATTTAGCCAAAGTGGAGCATTCAGGAAAATAGTCTCATTTATCTCAACTTTGCCTCCTTAGAAACGTTAATATTGGTATTTCAAACAGCCAATTAATCGTATCATAAGAACATCAGCGGAGACTTCATCGCTTGAATAATCGAGGAGGTAGTTGAAGGAGCAGCCCATTTACCGATGAAGAAGTGTTAAGGCTGTAATTCAGTGGATTGTTGGAATCCAATTGAGGCAATTTAAGCCGATTGGATTCGACATTTCAAGCGTTAAATCAGCGGCAAGGCAGGGTACAGCTTAGCCCAGGGAATGATGGCTGGACAGGCTTCAATCTGAATAACCAACTTGTAGAAAAGTTTCCAGATTTTCGGATCTTGAACGCACAATGTACCACCACCCCTGGCAAACTGGCTCTCCTAAATTGCACAAAATCAGAATCATTAGTGATGAATACACTTCCTACTATTCACAAACGAGAGCGTCAGAAACTTATTTCCACCTAAATGCAGCTTAAGGTGGTTGACGTGAAGAGAACTGTTCCCATGTTAATGAATCAAATGAAAAGTTTAAATATTTCCTCGTGACTATCAAAGTGGCCACGAAATCATTGGTAAGCAAAGAATTTAGAGATAGTCGCTTTCAGCAAATGTTGCTGTCTCGATGAGGATACTATTCCTTGAGATTAAGTAGGTACTTTCTAGAGGAACTGGTCTCTACACTGAATAGAGCGTTAACTAAAGTAAGGCATCATGAAATAATGGTCTGAGTGCATTAGAATCACGGTAACTCAGTTACGAAATTGACAACAATCCCAGCAACAAGCCTGAAAATATAATGACGAGTTGCTCGAGGTCACCCAGCTGATCTAGATTAGTCTTACCTCACAAAGTGCAAGAGTTTACAATAGGCTTTGCTTTAGAGACCTTTACTATCTGCTTGGCATCGGATTAGCACACTCTGTGTAAACAGTGTGAACTGAGGAGATAGAGATTTGGGGTAATAAATTACCTACAAGCAAGCGGCCACTGCCAAATCAATCTCACCCAAAATGCTTTCAGCAAAGTGAAATATTTATGCTTTGCTAAAAAGTATCTTTCCGTGACAATGAGTTCTGAGAAGAAAGATGAGATGTTGAGTCCCAGCTGACTCGTCGAACTAGAAGATAAGCTCTCTTTTGCTAAACGATGAAATACAAATTCTACCGTTCGTAACTGCACACGTGAACCTATCGAAGTGTGCATAGATCGTCATTATTGTTTAAAGACCGTTCACCTAGTATTTGGACGGATAAGTGAAGTAAATGGTCCACAAAAATTTCAAAAAACGTCGTTGTTCATTTCAGTGTAGGCGGAAAACATCAGCACCAAACCCTTTTTCATCGTGACCGGTCAGTCAATAAAACTGGACATCAAAATGTGTTGAAAAATAATAAGCCCAAATATGTCATCTCAGTAATCGAGTATTTCTTTTAACCTAAGATTGGGAAAATAAAGCTATGTAACGTAAAAAGGATGCCATTGAGAAACAGAGGCAATAGAGCGCTTGCAGACACTCCGTTCTCAGCTACTCACAACATGTAAGTAGGTAGCAGTGTACCCATTTTTTAATTTAAATAAACTGAAGTCAAACGTGTGAAACAAGGTGTCAAAATTGGAAAGCGAAATCTGCTCATCCCTTCGATCGCAAAAGCTACCATTTATTGAAATTCAATTCAAGCTTACTAAAATTGGTTGAAAGCAAAACGGGAAACCTTATTCAACCCCGAAGTAGTAGTAGCGACTGTGCCTATTAATGAATTCATTCCACATTTATAAGGCCTTGAAAAAAGAATTGAAACAAACTCATTATAACGTACTTTTCAGCATCATTGTGTCTGCATCTGGAGGCTTTGTGCCTACAATAACCATTGAACTAAGTCCAGCGATTCAAAAAAATTACTCCGTCCCGATTACTCGGCTCAGATCTAAATTATCAACAGTCCGCGAAAAATATACCGCACCTATAGCTACTGACCTTCAATTAAAGACACCGAATCAGTATAAAATGAGATTCGCGACTACCAGTGAACACAGATTCGGTAGGTTCAACTGCAAACTTAAACGAAGAACTTGAAAGATTATGAACTCATAAAACCCATGTAAAAGGTGCTTCCCTGCTTAAATTCATGATTGACAGAAATTAAAATTCAGTCACCAGGGGAACAGTTAAACTAGTTGATGTAAGTGATTTTAGACCCCAAAGGTAGATGTATCGAAATTAATTTTAGCCACATAACATCATATTCTCGATGACAATTACTTCTGCAGGTTATCAGTCTTATTGTAATACCTATCAATACCAGACACCAAACATTAAAATCCACCTTCAGAATGCGCACAACAGCTTTACTGACATCCAATGCGATACCATTAAAACAAAATGGACTGAAAAGAGACCGAACTCTAATCGCGTCTGGATTCCCTCCCAGACTTCCGTGCAAATTTTGTTGATGGGCAAAACTGAAGTAAACTTTTTAATAGGGGAAAAAAACTCACCGATCGGTTCATGTCGCCGAAACAAGTCCACCTTTCTGCATCAGCTTCTACTGACACAGCCCATTTAGCATGATCGTGAGTTGATCTGAGATGCATATTCACCGGAGCTGGCCACCTCAACTCTTCGATATTTTCAACCTATTACAAAAAATTGCAAATAATTTCCTTGTGTTCTTGGTTAGGATGCAAAGTTAACAGGTGGTGAGGTAAGGCGTATATTTTTCGATTTTAATCTGTGTCCCTCCTGACTCCTGCATTGCAGTTCAAAAAGATTTAGAAAAAAATTCAACGTAATTGATTTTTCAAGACTACTAGGCCCATATTTCAAGGTAGGTAATTAATCCAGCATACAAACGCCTGACAGATTTACATGGAACTAAATTTTAAGTGGATTAGTAAATAGATAAGTGACAGCAGTTCTGGATAAATTTTGGTATGATGCGTTGAAGGGAAGCAGTGTTTCAATAGTGAACTACCTTTACAAAGACACGTACTAGCAGAATATACATGAAGCCAAGGCTACGAAAGCCATAACATACCCAAAACTCGGTCGTACAGTTCGAGGGAAGATTTGAATTCGTGTGCCGCCATGTCTCAGCATAAAGCTGAACTCTCAAGTTCGGAGCGATTGTTTCCGAGAACAAGTCTTAAACATCAAATGGAAAACTGGCTCATGGATTGTGCGAAGCGTTGGTAAATGAGGCATCCAATAAAGGAAATAGTTACGGGCACACCTTTTTGATAATTGAGAGCTCTGCTTAATGATGACAAAGGCCATGGTCAAATGGATTACCATCACATTTCCCAAGGCAGCAAACAGTGGTTGATTAATA